CCCCCCCCCCCCCCCCCCCGTTATAAAAAAAAACAAGTGGGCTCCCCCAAAGTCCACAGTATAGTTCGAACACTGAGTGGCTTGATGGAGCGCAGGACATTACATGAATTGCTAATTGCAACATTAAACTAAAAATGTAAAGCCTGTACAAATACTAGAAATCGTAAATATAAAAGAAATAAAATGATCACATTTCATTTATCTATTATAACATTTATGTAGTTTTGTTCGCTTGACTGTTTCCTTATAAAGGTCCAGAAATTTGTCAAGCTTTTCATCAGGTGTCTTTTTTAATGAAATTATGTCATTAGGTTGCTGTCTTGCTGCCAGCCAATCGCTGCATTGCTGATCGTGGTTTTGAGTATCGATACATCTGCCTTCACGGGGAACACGAGAACGCGCAGTAATCTTAGACAACTTAATCCAGATATTTTAATCAGATATGCAAATTCGTTTGAAGAACCAAATTAGCCAGGGATCAGTTATCACGATTACTAGATCTGGAATCTTTCAAATCATCTCAGATGTATTAAACGAGGTACGAAGAACGGGCCCCAGAACTGAGAAACTGGTATGTATGAAACCTGGGTCCTGGAGAAGAAAACGAGCAGCAGCATCATGGTGTTGATTCTATGGGAATGCCTTCAGCGTGCAATAGTGTCTGAAGCATGTCTGAAAACACACCAATCTTATTGGTCATAGCAGTCATATGACAGCACTAGCTCCTCATATGGTGGGCTAAGGTAGGAGGTGGGCTCACTCAAAACTTCTGCTTCAATTCATGTCACATCTAGCTCCTTGAAACCAGATGGCAATAGAATGAAAATATAACATCAGCTGCAAAAGGCATTGTGGGATATTAGGACACAGACACTACAGTACAGAGCATGCAATAAAGTGAAAGTAGACATTTTTGTTCATATTATCCGACTTAAGAACGCAATGAAATGGTGACTTGATGCAAATGAAATGCCATAGCCTTTCTTACAACCAGTGTGGGAAAATGTATCACAAACAGAGTGCTATTTTTTTTTTTAGATTTGCAGCTTACTCCGATGAAAGTTAAACTAAGGGAAAATAAACAACTTTGCCAAAATGTGGCTTTATAATTTATATTTATAGGTTATAGATATAAATTTATAATTTCTGTACTGCGCAAATGTGTAAGCGCTCACATCACAAATAATGTAACACGCCTGAATTCCTTCCGGTAGCTTGTTGAGATCACACGACTACTCTTAATGCTTGTATGGATCAAGCCCTTTTATTTTCTTAATTTATTATTTTTAATGAATACTTTATTTCCCTAAGTAGCTCTCTTCACCTTCATTGTTCAGCTTTGCTCAGTAAGGAATCAATTTTAATCATGCAATCAAATTTATGTGTAGAACTTTTTAGAATGGATGAAAGCAGAACCACACTGATGTTTTCAGGCGCTCAGAAAGTTTGTGATGTGACCGAGACTTCATCAGTGGCTGTGTTGATGTCAAAGCTCATGAAAGGAGAGCTGCTTCCCTCTGCTCTCATCTGGATCACCTCCAGACCAGCAGCAGCCAATCAGATCCCCTCCAAATACATCCACCGTCTGACAGAAATTCAGGGATTCACTGAGCCTCAGAAGGAGGAATATTTCAGGAAGAGAATCAGTGACCAGCATCAAGCCAGCAGAATCATCTCACACATCAGAAGAGCAAGAAGCCTCCACATCATGTGCCACATCCCCGTCTTCTATTCATCTGAGCGTTCAGGAGTTTCTCGCTGCTTTCCATGTTTCACTTTCATGTGAATACAACTATGGAGGGACTGAGGAACTATGCTTCAGTACAAAATTTGCTTAAAGGTGCAGTGGATAAATCCCTTGAGAGTGAGAATGGACAGCTGGATCTGTTCCTGCGGTTCCTGCTGGGCGTCTCACTGGAGTCCAATCAGAGACTCTTACAGGATCTACTGACACACACAGAGAACAGCTCAGAGAGCATCAGAGAAACCACACAGGACATTAAAGAGATGATCAAAGATGCACATGATAGTTATCGTCTCTCAGCTGGTCAATCCATCAATCTGTTCCTCTGTTTGCTGGAAGTGAAAGATCAGACTCTGTCCAGAGAGGTTCAGGAGTTTGTGAAATCAGACAAACACTCAGAGAAGAAACTCTCTCCTGCTCACTGCTCAACAATCGCCTACATGCTTCAGATGTCAGAGGAGGTGCTGGATGAGCTGGACCTCAAGAAATACAACACATCAGATGAGGGGAGAAGAAGACTGATACCAGCTGTGATCAACTGCAGAAGAGCTCTGTGAGTTTTGCCATGAAGAAAATGTTAATACAGAGCAACAATATTCTCTGAAAGAAATTACATTTACGATGTTCTCAAAAATGAAAGTCATATTGAATTTTGAAACTTTATAATTAGGACACCAGTCAGGATAAGAATTGTTTTACTTTCTTTCTGTCTTGCTGGCTGTAATCTCACTGCTCAATGTTGTGAAATTGTGGCACCAGCTCTTCAATCCTCAAACTGTGTCCTGAGAGAGCTGGATCTGAGTAACAATGACCTGCAGGATTCAGGAGTGAAGCTGCTCTCTGATGGACTGAAGAGTCCAAACTGTCAGCTAGAGATACTGAGGTGTGCAAGAACAATAATCATTTATAAAATCTCTTCAGTGTTTGTCATGGGAAGAGGTCGTTAACATCACTTGTCGCCAACCAACATCTGCATTGATAATCTGGTTTTGAGTACTGATGTAGTACGTGCCCTTTGCAGTAAACAGTCTGTGATTATCTCAGACAAATCAATCCAGATATTTGCACATGTATTTGAAAAATAGAATTAGCCGATTGCAGTTAACATATTTAGAATATAAAGCCTATATCATAATATCTCACGTTTGATACTTCCACTGCTTAAAAAACAAATCCAGCAGGTTTCAATTGATATTTGGCTGTTGCATTTTAAACATACATTAAAAAATGAATATCCAATTTTCAGGCAATTTTTAGAATCTGCATTTTCATCAATTACCTGCACCTTTATAATCATTTCCTAAGACATTAAACAAAGACTTCTTTTTGCAATACCTGCAAATTACTGCAGGCTTAAAAATTCAGTTTCTTGCCACGAGTAATCTCAACAATGCTTACTCTGCTCTTTGAGGGTTTAGGGCTTCACAGATTGTCATCTTCACTGTTGATGTGTGTCTGTAGATGATCTGTCTGTGTGTGTCTGTAGATGATCTGACTGTGTGTGTCTAGAAGATTTGTGTGTGTCTGTAGATGATCTGACTGTGCGTCTCTAGATGATCTGATTGTGTGTCTGTAGATGGTCTGACTGTGTGACTGTAGATGATCTGACTGTGTGTGTCTGTAGATGATCTGTCTGTGTGTGTCTGTAGATGATCTGTATGTGTGTTTCTATAGATGATCTGACTGTGTGTCTGTAGATGATCTGACTGTGTGTCTGTAGATAATCTGTCTGTGTGTGTGTGTGTCTGTAGGTTGTCTGGCTGTATGGTGACAGAGGAAGGCTGTGGTTATTTGTCTTCAGCTCTGAGTTCAAACCCCTCACACCTGAGAGAGCTGGATCTGAG